ATCCACTGCCTCTGCCTCCTGAGTGCTGGAATTAAAGGCATGTGTCACCACATCCAGGTTCAAAGGTCAAAAAAAGAATTTTTTTTTTTTTTGGTCTTTTGGAGACAGGGTCTCCCTGTAGCCCGTGGTGGCCTGGAACTTGTTATGTTGACCAGGCTGGCCTTGAACTCACATAGATCTGCCTGCTGCTGCCTCCTGAGTGCTAGGACTAAAGGTGTGTGCCACCCACACAGCAACAGATTTATTTTATTTTTTTAAGACAGGGTCTCCCTGTAGCCCCAGCTGGCCTGGAACTCGCTATGTAGACCAGACTAACCTTGAACTCTCAGAGATCTGCCTGCCACTGCCTCCCAAGTGCTGGGATTAAAGGGTGTACCACCATGCCCAGTCTCAAAAGTCAAAATTTTTTAAGGTCAGTTTTAAGAGGTATGTAAAATTTCTTCTGTTGCCTGGCGTGATGCATGCCAGGTGAAGAGACCCTGTCTCAAAAAAAGACAAAAAAAAAAGTTCTTCTGTTAATTTATAAATATCAGCCATTACAAGTTTTATAGTGTTGGTCTGAAGATGATCTTAATTACAGTGTAGAATATTTAAAAAACAGTAATTTTCTTTTCTTTTTTGGTCTTTTTGAGACAGGGTCTCCCTGTAGCCCCAACTGTCCTGGAACTCACTATGTAGACCAGGCTGGCCTTGAACTCACAGAGATCCACCTACCTCTGCCTCCCAAGTGCTGGGATTAAAGGTGTGCACCACCACGCCTGGCAAAAAACCCAGTAATTTTTAAAAGCAATATTCTACAGGCCTACGATAGATGTTAACCTCACCATTAACATGTCCTCAGCCTTAACATATTCATAAACTAGGAAGACAATCCCCTCATAAATAAAGACTATAAACAGTGTTTGACTGTGGCATAGAAGTCGGCACAAAGAGGCAGAGGATCACCTGACAATAAAGAGGAAACGGGCCTGGAGAAATGGAGAGACGGCTCATCAGTTAAGACAGGGTACTGCTCTTGCAGATCCCAGTTTGGTTTCTAGCACCCAAGTCAGGTGGTTCACAAATGCTTGTAATTCCAGCTCCAGGGGATCCAATACCTCTGACCTCTGGGGACACTCATGTGCACAAACCCACATTCAGATAAATAATTAAAAAATTTTAAATAATAAAAATTAAATCCTTTTTTTGTTGTTGTTTTGAAAGACAGGGTCTCTCTATAGCCCCAGCTGTCCTGAAACTCACTATGTAGACCAGGCTGGCCTTGAACTCAGAGATGCCTGCCTCTGTCTCCTGAGTGCTGGGATCAAAGGTGTGCACCACTACACCCAGCCAAAAGTAAATCTTCTTAAAAATAAAAAGAGGAAAACAGGCTAGGCATGGTGGCAAAGGTCTGACACCCCAGCACTAGGAAGGTGGAAACAGGAAGATCAGAAAGAAGTTCAAGGTCATCCTCAGCTATATATGGAGTTTACGGGCCTAAGCTACAGAAGACCTTATCAAACAAAACAAAACAAAACAAAACCAAAAGCAAACAAAAAGGAGGAGGAGGAAGAACATAGGAGGCACATTTCAGAAGAGTGAACAATGGCTGCAAGACAGGAAAAGGACTGAGCTCAGTTATGAGGCACAGCTAGGGTCTACGTAGACACAGGGGAAAGAAGCTAGATTCTTCAGGGACCAGTGATCTGCCAGAGTCAGGAAGTACAGGCTCACCTTCCTAGTCCAGCTGGGGAATTCTCATTGTCGGGCATTTATAACCACTATGTGGAGGTCACTTAAGCACATCAGATACTGAGTACTGGATCAAATTAATACACTGGAAGCAATGAAGTAAAAATAACCAGAGTGTTCCAAGTACATGGAAAATCAGGAGGAAAAAATAAAGAGAGGGAGGGCTTATGTATTTATTTCAGCTCAGACACATTTGTGAGAGTTATTCCTTGGACTCTTAGAATAAGAAAACGTGGTGACCTCCGTGAAGACAGCGGGTGCTTTCTCATAGTCAAAGGCACACTAAGGTAAAGAGCAGACCGCCTTGTGTTGCCATTTTCAGCTATTCAAAGATCTGATCTGGATACATTAGAAGCCTCCTTCAACCTATCAATCATTCCCTTTCATTCACTGTCCAGGTTTGAGGTTTTAGAAAGCGAAGCTTAACTTTCACAAACAAGGAAACCATTTGATCCCTAGGCTCTGCAAAGGCTGGGTGACTGCCAAACATTTCTCAAACAAGAAGCAAACATGATTAAAATGAGCCCGAACCAACTTGTGCTTGCACAGTTAAGGACCATTATCCCAGACTTGGAATGTTCACCACTTTGGAGTCCTGTTTTGTTTTTCAAAAAAAAAGCTGGGATCCTTCTGATGCCCAAGGCTCCTTATCCCCTCACACTGCTAAAAATCCCTGAGCTGCAGTGACGGCCCACATAAGCAAGTGCTGCAGGAATAGGAAATCAGTTTTCTCTTAAGCAGAAGGGAAGGTTTTGTGTTGTGTACTCTAAAAATTCCAGAGGGAATGAAAGGTCATGAGAGAAGGGAGAGGGAAGAGTCAGGGCTGGAGGAGGGGAGGCAGAAGAATAAGGGATAGTAGGGAGACATCAAGGCAAGGGCAGGAGAAGGTAAGGGGACCCCCCCCCCCAAAAGCCTGAGTGACTACAGATGGAGAGGAGACATGCTTAAGAACCAGAGGCAAGCACAACGGAGCAGCCAGCAGGGTACACCTGTGCCTGGTCAAGAGGGAGGGACACCTTGGACAGTGAAGTTTAACACAGTGGCTCCATCCTTCTTCTCATCCCTAAGTACTTTCCTCTACAAAGCCTTCTGGAAAATTTATAATCTTACCTATCGAAATTCTTATCTCCTTCCCACAAAAATAGGCTTCTAGTGAAAGGGGTCAGTGTGGCTTCTCAGAACAACCGAACTTAACGTTCTTCCTTGGTCAGCACCTGAACATGAAACTTGTGAGGCCCTGTCTTCTACACACATGGACTCACAGCTCTTACCCCCACTCTGAGACCCACCTGACTCAGAGATGTCCTTGTGAAGTAAATTACATCTTTACATCCTCGCCACCGTTCTATGGGTCACATCTGAACGGCTCCCTCTGCCTCTCTTTGGTGTCCCCGCCATATCCCTATTTTCTGCACATGATGTATGTTTTCACCAAAGGGCCTAGAATCCTCTTCTCCCTGCAGTACAAACCACTCCCCTCTTTAGAAGACCTTCCTTACTCCCAAACATAAGACAGTGCCCCACCAAGTTGTTCCCATCCTTCTTCACCTGCTCTGTTTCCTGGCACTGTCCCACCACTTGATACATACTGAGTCAGGATGGTGAAGAAGCCTCACAGCTCACAGCACAGGACCTGGCATAACAGGACTTCTGTAATTATTGGTGCATGAATAAAAGTGAGCAGGGTGAGTGAACAAAGTACATGCACTCCTAAGCACTCCTCTTTAACATGGCTTAGAATATAAACAAGAAACTTGTCATCAATGACATGTGTCAGTGCCAGCCTTTAATTTCATCTGACCTCAAGGGCAGACGTCAAGTGCTCACGTTCATCCTGCGCATGGAAGGCTGTAAGCCACTCACAGCAATACCTGTCACAAGATGGGGTGTAGCTTCATGAGACCTGCTGGCTGGGTGGGAAGCACAGGTTTGCAAGTCTGTGTTTGTGGGCACATTTCATTTCTTATCTCCTTTCATGGACCATGGCAATGGAATCAATACATAAAATGTACCATGTGTTTCATTAGGTCCATGGTTCCTGCTTTGGAGTAACTGCTTTCAGTGACTTGGGGTCCTGGAAGCCCTCAGTAAACTCAAGTCACCAGTGCTACTCTGGGTTATATGTCACCATTTCCAACATGCTTGCGTCTTAAAGTAAGGAGGTGTCACACACTACTTTGCACTAAAAACAAGCTCAAACTAACCTTTTTTATTCTTTAAAGTATTTTATTATTTTTATTTTATTTTATGTGTATGAATGTATTGCCTGCAAGTACTTAAGTGCACCTGTGTCACACAATGCCCAGAAAGGTCAGAAGAGGGTGTTGGATCTCTTGGAACTAGTTATGGGTGGTAGTTAGTTGTCATGTGGGTGCTGGAAATCAAGCCCAGGTCTTCTGAAAGAACAGTCAGTGCTCTTCACTGCTAAGCCATCTCTCCAGCACCCTGAAATAACATTTTGTAGGATAATATTTTTTCTTTCCATGAAACTTGGTGAAATCTTTCTCACCATCTATTGATCCTAATGCTACTAAAAAAATCAGCTTTCGTGCCAGGCATGATGACGCACGCCTTTAATCCCAGCACTCAGGAGGCAGAGGCAGGTGAATCTCTGTGAGTTCAAGGCTGGCCTGGTCTACATAGTGAGTTCCGGGATAGCTGGGGCTACAGTGTGTGTGTGTGTGTGTGTGTGTGTGTGTGTGTGTGTGTGTGATATGAATACCTGCTCGGGGATGTTGGGTGCACTTGCTCTATTTTATTCTTGTTTTTTTTTTTGTTTTGGTCTTTTTGAGACAGGGTCCCCCTGTAGCCCCAGCTGTCCTGGAACTCACTATGTAGACCAGGCTGGCCTTGAACTCAGAGATCTGCCTGCCTCTGCCTTCTAAGTGCTGGGATTAAAGGCATGTCTACCACATCTGGCTTCTATTTTATTCCTTTGAGACAGCGTCTGTCAGTGATCTTAACCAGGCTGGCAGCCAGCCAGTCCCAGTGATCCTTCTTCTCTGCTCCCCACAGTTCTGGAATTACAGGTACACAAGGGCCATAGTCAGCTTTTTTTTAAACAAGTAGGTGCTAGAGATTTGAACGCAGGTCCTCATGCTTGCGTAGCAGGTGTTCTTACCCACTAGTTCATCTCCCCAGTCTAGCTCGTCCCTTTTAACTGATGCGAGACCACAGGTAGTCTGTCTTCTGAGTCCCTTCCCCAAGGAAACAGGGAGGTCATACAAGAAGGGATGCCGCAACAGCCCAGAACACAGGTCCATGCTTACCACTTCGTCTTCTGTCCAGCATTTCTCGATCAGCTTGGGCACAGGCTTCTTCACCAGTCGCTGCAGGGCTTTGCCAGCATCGTAACTGCTTTCATGGAGCTGAGAAGACAATAACCTTAGTTAATGAACTGCACCAAATAGGAGGCATAGAGGCAAATCAATAACTGCAGTCCTGCACCTACTCCTAGCAGAAGAATCCTGAAGGTGCTAGACAGCTTGGCTCCTTGGTGTGTTAACCTGCTGTCCTGTTACTGCCCTCCCTGCCCCACCCCCATTACAGCTGCTGAGAGAGTACTCCAGCTCAGATTCAAACGTTCCTCCCTCAAAAGTAGAAGTGTTGAAGGCATTGCTCCAGGACTGATACTACTACTGAGAGGTACTGAAACTTTAAGGAGGCGGGCCTAGTGGGACGCAAGTCTATTTTAATGCTTCCCAGTCACCAGGAGGTGAGCACCTCCCTCCATCACATACCTCCTGCTACAACATGCTACCTCACCACAAGCACAAAGGCAACAGACCAAGTGACCAGAGAGGAAACCTGAGACTGTGGGCCAAAATCTACCTGCTCTCTTCCTAAGATGATTTAGTTAGGGTATGTGTTATAGTAATACAAAGCTGACTTGCAGAGAGAAGGAGACAAGGGAAGCAGAGAACACTTTTGTCAAGAAGAAGAGCATTCAGAACAGCAAAGCCAACACCTGTGGAACATGTGGGCTGGCGTGGTACTCACTTCCTCCACTAACCCCCTTGTTTACTCCTAGTGATAAGAACCACAGAAAGATAAGACTCACACACAGCCAGCAGGTTTTGAATTCTTCTTCTTTTTTTTTTTTAAATTTTAGAATATTTTTATTATTCCAAAGAGAAGCAATTGTTTTTTGGATTTTTTTTTTTGGTCTTTTTGAGAAAAGGTTTCCCTATAGCCCCTGCTGGCCTCGAATATGTAGATCAGGCTGGTCTTGAACTTACAGAGATCCACCTGCCTCTGCCTCCCCAGTCCTGGGATTAAAGGCATGTATCCCTATGCCTGGCTAAGAGAAGCAATTTTTAACATATTCTTCCAGAAATAACTCTTTTAATATTGAATTTTTACAATATATTTTGTTCATATTTAGAATCCCTCCCCTAACTACCCCCCCATGGATTTTGTGTACTCTGTCACATTTTTTTTTTTTAAATCCTACCGAGTTTATTGGGCTTGCTAGCAGAGCATAGGGTGGGGGCTTATTTACAGAAGGGTGGGTACCCCCCTTCTGGTGGTGGGTGCCTCCAGCTGTGTTGTAAAGTCCACACTCAAATATAGATCTTGTGACTTCCCAACAGCTGCACAAAATGGCAAGAGAGGTGTCTCATGGCATTCTCAGCTTATATATCCTTAGCCCCTCCGCCACATGCAGCTAAGGTCAGCTGATTAGGTGGAAGGGGCAACTGACTCCACTCTCGACTCCTTGTCGGGAGGAGGTGGGACTTCAAGGCAACACTCCACCCCTTCCTCCAGCTCTTACATTCTTTCTGCCAACCTCTTCCACAAATGTCCCTGAGCCTTGCAGGGGACAACAGATGTGGGATGATGTTCCTCCCACTGTGGCAAGGCATTGAACTTTTGGGTCTCTGCATCACCTGTTTTCCATGGGCTGTTGGCCCATTTCAGTGGGATTCCATCTACACCACATGGAGGCCAGACCAGATGCTCTCAGGCTGTCTGTTGAGTTCTCAGCTCCTACACCAGGCGAAGGCCATATCAGCCACTCTGGCTGTCTGCTAAGGTCCTAGCCCTCAGGTTTCAAATTCTTGTCCCATTCCCTGTTTTGAGATGAGGCATCACTCTGTACCCCAGGCTGGTCTGGAACTCCTGGCAAACCTCCTGTATCACCCTCCCCAAGTGCTTTATCAGAGGTGTGAGCTACTGTGGCCAGCTATGCTTTTCTCAGTCTTCCCAAAGCACCCTAAGAACACCAGATTCTTTTCTAGCCTTTTGTGATTTCTTAAGTTTTTCAACTGAAATAATTTATTAATAACATTTAAATACAAAGGCCTTTAAAGGAAGTAATTCTGTAACAGGATGCTAATTCCTCAAAAAATTTATTTATTTATTTTTATTTTATGTGTATAAGTGTTTTGCCCACATGTATGTAAATGTACCAATGTCATACGATGTGGAGGCCAGAAAGGGCATCGGATTCCTCAAAACTCAAGCTACAGACAGTTGCTAGCTGCCATGTGAGTACTGGGAATGGAACCTGGGTCCTCTTTGAGCAGCCAGCCAGTGCTCTTAACAGCAGAGCCATGTGTCCAGCCCCAGGATGCTAATTCTTACAGAAGCTCTGAATGTGGAGCCTGGTCTTAGTAGCCCCTTCTCTTATCAGAGCTAATCAATCCCACCTGTTTTCCACCACCAGGCAGTACTAAGTACCAAGACCTCTTCTTGTACAGGTATCCTGCTGATCTCTATGGTCTCACTTGCCCCTACCAAATGATGAAGAGAGCACCAGCAGAAAGATCCTCATGCTCAGACTAGACTCCAAACTGTAGAGAGCTCTCCTTCCAAAACTCTGTTGGAACACCCTTCCTTCCCACCTTGGGCTCTCTGACAGAAGTAGTTTTGCCTGAGACTTGAAGGCCAGTGCCTAACACATTGATTTCCAGACACACTTGCTAAACTAGGAAATTAAAGACTAAAGACCTTCAACTACTGTCCCTGGGCAGATTCCACTCAGGGCTAACCCTCAATTTATCTACTCAGTTAGGTAATATGTTCCAGACCCTGGAATATAGCAGTACAGGGACCTGCCTTCTTTCAGATGCACAAAAAGATTAAAAGTAGTGTAGATGTTCATACATGGTCTACTTTCTGAAACAAGTACGCATTTGCCAAGTTCTCTAATATAATGAGGATTCTTAATGAGATAACACAGAATGAAACTGAATAAAAGGAAATTTCACATGCATACTCAATTTAAAAAGCACATATTTTAGTGATAATTTAAAATCAAATCAAGCTGATGAAGTCGAAATTCTAATAAAAACCTGAAGGCAAAATTACTAACATTTTATAAGCAGTAACTATGGGGTATGGGACAATGCTATGGAAGAGGGAAAGCTGGACCATAGAACTAGATTGCCTGGACTCAAATTCCAGCTCTACTACTTGTAAGTGAGGACCTCTAGCAAATAATGTACCCTCCTAATGACTCAATTCTTGAAAGATGGGCATCATGCCACAAACCTCTGGCTACTTTAAGAACAGAATTTGAAAACTTCAAGGGTTTCTTTAAGGAAAGAAAAACAGGCCAGGCGTGGTGGCACAGGCCTTTAATCCCAACACTTGGGAGGCAGGTGGATCTGTGAGTTCAAGGCCAGCCTGGTCTACATAGTGAGTTCCAGGCCAGCTGGAGCTACAGGGAAACCGTGTCTCAAAAAGACCAAAAAGAAAAAAAGAAACCAGAAGGGCTGGGAAGATGACTCAGTCAGGTGCTTGCTGCATAAGCATAAAGACCTTTTGGGAGCTGGAGAGATGGCTCAGCAGTTAAAAGCACTGGACCTGGGTTCACAGCATCCACATGGCAGATAACAACAGTCTGTAACTCCGGGTTCCAGGCGATCTGACACCCTCTTCTGGCCTCCACAGGCATTGCACAACATGGGTGCACCTGTATACATGCAGGTAAAATACTCATATATATAAAATAAAAATAAACAACAAAAGACCTCAGTTTAGATCCTTAGCACCCAAGTGAAATAACTGGTATAGTGGCATGGGCCTGGAACCCTAACACTGGGGAGTGGAGACCAGAGATCTCTGGGGCTTCTGGCCAGCTTGTCTTAGAGAATTGTTGCACTCCAGGTTCAGTGAGCAAGGGTCTATTTAATTAAGCAAGATACCTGATATCAACCTCTAGCCTCTACAGGTGCACTCACAGACACAGGAGGGGGAAAGGAGAGCAGAAGGGGAGAGGGGGGAGAGGGAGAGGGGAAACGGGGGGGAGGGAAAGAAGGGGAATGGAGGGAGAGAGGAGAGAGTACAGAGAGAGGGGAGACAAAAAAAGAAGCAGTCTCAGCTCAGTTTTTTGTTGTTTGTTTGAGACAGGATCTCACTATAAAGCCCTGACCAGGCTGGAACTTCCTATGAAGACGAGGCTGGCCTTGACTCACAGAGATCTACCTGCCTCTGCCTCTGAGTGCTGGAATCAAAGGTGTGTGCCATCTCACTCAGCTTCACCTCCGTTTTTTTTGCTGTTTTGTTTTTTTCTAAAATCATTTTCTAGGTTAAAGACTGGGTTAAGTTATAAACAAAACTACTTTTTTTCTTTTTGGTCTTTTTTGAGACAGGGCCTCCCTGTAGCTCCAGGTAACCTGGAACTCACTATGTAGACCAGGCTGGCCTTAAACTCACAGAGATCCACCTACTCCTGCCTCTGGAGTGCTGGGATTAAAGGTGTGCACAACCATGCCTGGCAGGATTTCTGTTTTTAACAAATAGTCAGTTGTTCTAGCTTGTTTGTTGAAAAGATTTCCCTTATGCCACTGAAAGTAATTTGAATAGATGATGCTCAATGATAGATTGATAGATAAAACAGATGATAGATGATAGGTAATGGATAGAGAGAGAGAGAGAGAGAGAGAGAGAGAGAGAGAGAGAGAATATGAATTAGTGTTGGAACTAAAGGCAAGTGCCACCATGCCTGACCTAACAAAACTACTTATATTTCATACCATTGCTATGTAATACTGCAGTTTATGACATTTGGTGAAAACTCCACTAGAGTTTTTAATTTTAATATTTTAATATTATTGTGTTTTGTCTGCATGTATCAAGTACACCACATATGTTCTTAAGAGGCCAGAAGAGGGTATCGGGTTCCCTGAAACTGGAGTTACGAATAGTTCTTAGCTGCCATGTGGATGCTGGGAACCAAACCCAGGTCCTCTGTAAGAGCAGCCAGTGCTCTTAATTGCTGAGCCATCTCTCCAGCCTCATTTGATAGTTTTAAACAGAAGAAAAATGAGAAAAAATTTCAGGTTATAGAACTTCTCCCGCTGAACAAATTTGAAGAAAAAAAATAACTTTTTCTGAGTGGGTCAGCATTAAATGTATTTAA